CAGGTAACAGCTTCCTCTGAATAACACACAACATAACAGCCAAATGCCATGAAGAGTCCCTGCCCAAGGGCATCAGCCTGGTTTCAAGGGCTCGGCAGCAGTTCCAATGCAGGTGTCTGTTTTGCGGAATGGGATGCGGGACCGGATGGCCTTATCTGGCAGCATGGAGTTGGTGACACCTGGTAATACCGAGCTAGTTGGCCCCATTGATCTGATCCTGCATAGCGTGTGTGTGGCGGGGAGAAATGACCCCGCCGGTCTGATCCAATGCAGCAGACACAGGGCTAGGTGAGCCTACTGGTTCCACCCAGCACAGTAGTGGAGAAAGAGGGGAAACCAGGCTAAATGGGCCCTCTGATGTGAACCACACCAATATTTTTCCGCTCAGAGCTTGGGGTTGTGCAGAACGCTGGGTGTCTGGGGGTGGGATGCCAGGGAAGGGAGGAGGGGCGTGTCGCAGGAACTGTCCCCCTCTGGAGTCAGGGGGCCTGGGGACGGGGAGGGGATGGCACAGAACGGCCCATCGCGGGAAATTGCCCAGGCCAGCGGGTGCGGGACACTGCGACCAGGGAATCCTCCCGCAGCGGGGGCTGCGGCCCATTTCCACCTCTGGGGAACAGAGGACTGGGGGACTCGCCAATTTCTGGGGGGGGGGAGCGCTGCGCGGACGATCCCATCTCAGGGGACGGCGTGGGGGGAGGGAAATGCGCGGACAGTCCCATGGTACCGGGCCAGCAGGAGGGAATAAAGGGGGAGGCGCTGCGCGGACGGTCCCATCTCACAGGACAGCGGGGGGGGGGCGCTGCGCGCACTCAGTGCAGGCCAGGGGCGGGGGGATAACGGTTTGCCATCGCCGCCCGGGTGGGGCTGGCGCTTCCCGGCCGCGCGGGGCTCTCCCCGGGGCTCGGCGGCAGGGAGCTCCCAGGGATCGGGGGGGGGGGGGGGGGCATGTGAAGCCAGGCCGAACCGGGCCAGTGTCACTCACCTGCCGCCGCTGCCGCCGGGCTCCAGCTCCGCCCCCACCACGTACCGTGCGTGTGCACGCCCTAGGTTACGTATTACGTCAGCGCGCAGCTCGCGGGGCCGCGCACGGCGACGAGTCAGCGCTCTGCGTGCAGCCTTGGCGTCAGGGGCTGCGCGGGGCGGGCCGTGGAACTGGGTGCTGCTGTGAGGGAGCGGGGCCGCCTCAGTCTCGTCACATGGCCGCGACGTGGTGACGTATTCAGAGAAGCCGGCGGAACAGCGCCCCTCGGCAGGAGACCCGGCCACGCCCACCCCGGCCTGTCGCGCGGGAGCGGCCCGCTGTAGTGACGCCTCCGGCCCAGCAGAGGGCGCAGGGCGGCCGTGCGGCACCGCCTCCTTCTGGCAAAGGGACACGCCGGGGGTGGCAGGACGCCTGGGTTCCGCACCGGCCACCACCCCCGAGGCTCCCGTCCAGCATCCGGAGGGCCCGTCCCGGGAGGCCGCCGCGCATTGCCGGGGCCCTGGCCTGGGAGGGTCAGTCTCGGGGAGCAGCACCCGGGGTGGGGTCACCCCGGGGGGGGGGGGGGGCTAGCTGCCCCCTCGCCCGGCTGAGAGCAGCACAGGGGCTAGGAGCCAAGGCAGGTGCTGACAGCTCCCAGGAGCCTTTGCAACCGGTAATCACCCAGCATGCAGCACGCCAGGGACGGGTCACGGGCTCGTGGCCACCCCCCTAAGCAGCACGGGCCCAAGTGACCTCTGGGTGTTTCCATACTCCCTCCCCTGCCCGGAACCGCTCACGCTGGCTGTTTCTCAGGCCAGAGCGAGGTCCCATCCTTTGGTAGCTACAATCATGAGCAATCCAGTTCCACCTAGCCAAGCAAACTCCATTCAGAGGGACGGCAATGTTACGAACTACGTCTGCTGCCTTCTTTCCCTTTATCAGGTGCATTGAGGGGGTGCAGTACAAGTCCTGAGTCCTAGGCTCCAGTTCTGTTACTGAGGCACCGCCAGACCTACTGCGAACCATCTCCCTTCCACATCCCTCAATTTCTTCCTCTGGCCTGTAAAAGCGCTGATGGGGTGGGCGAGGGAAGAGGTTTAAAGACACCTCGTTGAGACTATGGGGGCAATTGTTAGTTATATAACATGGCCTAGGGCACATAAAAAAACCCTTTAACCCTGAGCCCCAGTCCAGGACCTACCCCTGGCAGGGGAGAAGCTGTTTATGATGAGAGGAGAACATTGCTGCTCTTTGCACCTCCTAGCTAGGATTAAGGTTGGGTTGGTTCGGGGCTTTTAAGGGTATTAGGCCTAACTCGATAGCCACACACCATCTGAACACTTCGGCTTCGCTAACCTGCAAATTGCAAGTCACACTGCCAAGCCTCCCTTGTCTATTTGTGATAATGGTCAAGGACTTACAGCCAGAGGTGCTTTAATTTACTTACCAAGCTACCAGTGAAGTCAGGTTTCCCCACTGAGCAGGGGACACAGGAGTAACGGGGGAGAGGGGTGCCGGTTTGGCTGCAGTCATGGCAGATCTGTGGCTCTTCCTAGGGCTTGTCCACTCTACTCAGTTTTGTTAACAAAACTTATGTCAACACCCAAAAGTCAACAAAACAAAAATCGCCAAAGGGTGTTCACGCTTGCTCCCTCTGTTGACAGAACATGTCCACACTGGGGACACCATCATGGACAGGGTGAGAAATGCACCGTGGGTATGTATCCCACAGTGCAGTGTTGTGGGAAGGAAGAGCTGAGCGCTGCCCATCTTGGGATTCTCTCCGAATTCTCCCACAGCCCCCTCAGCTGCCGAGAGCAGCATCACGAGTAGCTCTGTGAGCTCTAGGTGCTGAGGAATAGCAAAGCAGCACAGCAGTCTGCCTGCTGCTGTGTTCCTAGTGCAGGGCAGAACAGGAGCAGCCCAATGATTTGCTCTTTCTTACTTCCTGGAGCTTTGAAAGGGGAGAGGTGCCTGCCTGCAGGGCAGCAGAGATCACAATACTGAGCAGAGCAATCAGGGCAGGCATTGTGGGATACTGGCGGAAGCCAGTTGTCAATAAAACAATCAGCAGCGTCTACTCTGGCTCTTTGTCAACAATAAAGGGAGGGGAAAAGACAAAAGTCTCTCGTAGGGGTGGAAGTTTCTTGTCGCCAAAACTGGGTGTTTTTCACAACAAAAGTCCCATTGTAGCTTGTAGGCTCTCGCTGTTTTGTAACCAAAAGGCAGTTTTTGGTGACAAAACATGCCAGTGTAGACAAGCCCCTAGCCCCACTGACCACCCCTCCCAACAGGAAGGGCCTGGATCAACCTAAACTTGCTCAGCTCCTCCTAGTGGCACAGGGAGCTCTGGCAGCTGTTGAGAGGAATGGGGGCTGCCCACCCTAGGGGCAATGAGGGCCAAGGCTGCTTGTTCTGTAACAGATCCATGATGCTCTGCTTTCCACAGGCCACACACCAAACACTGCACTCAGCAGTGTGTGCTGCAGGCACTCAGAGCTGGGGGGACCCCTACCTGGGGAGCACTGCACTGTAGGAGCCAGCCTGCACCTGTCGCTGACTGCACCACAGCTGCTGGCCTCTCTGAAGGCCACAAGCTGCAGAGGGGTATGCAAGGAGCGGAAAGGGACGGTGTTTGGTGGTAGGAGCTGGGTCCATGCAAGGCGAGTCACCTAGGACCCAGGTACCTGCCTGGAGCTGCAACTTACCGAGGCCCAGGGTGAGTTATGTGCTGGTGCTGCAGGGTAATCACTGGGCCACAGTCCAACCAAAGAGGCTTTTGCTCTAATGGACTCAGGAATTAGGAGCTATAGATATCACTGCTGTGTCACCTTCCAATCCCAGCTGCCTGCTAATCACTGGCAAAGGACACAGGAGCTAACGGGCTTTCAGTTCCATGACGCAAGCCCCTGAAATCCTGGCTCCTTGGGGCAGCTTACCACTTAAAGGTGAGGAGTGGAGAAGGGCATAAGAAAAAGGGACCCTGAACAGACATATATCCCACAAGAGGGGCAAGAGACCCTGGGGCTGCACCAGCAACCAGGTAACACAGGAAAGCCAGGGAGAAGAGGCTTCTGGCACAGCCCTAGACTCTGTCACACCATTGAAGCTACTGGCACGTGGCAATTGGGTTGAAACTCCAAGAGGCAGTGTGGGTTTGGCATTTCTTCCCACAGCACTAGGGCAAGGGAGAGACAGATTTTGGTCACAGTTCCTTGTGCCTCCAAGCACTCAGCCCTGAGCAGAGTGGTGGAGGCAGGGCAGATGGTGGGCAGGGAAAGATTCACTGCTCTTGCTAAGCTTGGTGCAGTGACCAGAGGCTCCAAGCAGGAGGTGCACTTGGAGGGATGAGGAGGAAGGTGTTGCCATTTCTCTGGTTTGCAAAATTGCTCCTTCCCTTGGTGAAATGGGATAAGCTCTGTTCAGGGGAGGGATAGGAAACTTAAAGGCAGGCTTGTGCCTATCATCCACCTACACTGGCAAGGCAACTCTCCCCAGCAGTAACCCAGCTGGGGGACAACACACTCCATGCAGTCAGGGGGTCTGTGACTCTACTTCCATGTGATTCATTGAGGGGGGTGGGCTACCTTAGCAATACCAGGGAGATCATATCGCCCCGTCCTGTGTATGATGGGGGGGGGAGGGGTTCAGCCCATTATTGGAGCAGTGGGTGCTGGACCTATTCCTTGTGCTGGAAACCATCAGCATTTGGCTGGTTAGGTTGCAGCCCCAAGAAGACGGGCCTATCTGCTTACTGGTCTGCAGCTCCATGAAACAGAATGAAACTAAACTTCTGAAAAAACTTCAGATAGTCACAAGCTCTGCAGCTTTGCTGGCAGGGGGGCAGTCTGCAGGGCAACTTTCATGCTCTTGTGCCCTTCAGCAAAGCTACAGGCAGGCACTGCTCCCACCTCTCACCAAAGAGCAGAGCAACCCGTAGAGGATGGACCTGAGGCAGAGACTGCTTAGTGCACAGCATGGCGTGTGCTAGAGGGGTGGGAGGCGCTGTCCATCGGCTGGAGAGACAGGAGCAGGGTTCACAAAATACAGAGACTTTTATTAAGGTTCTAAATCTATTCACAACAGCTAAAACCGGAAGGTTTCCCAGTGGCCCAGGACCGAGACCACAGCAGCAGCTGGCCCAGCTAAGCACTGACAGCCAGTCCAGCTCAGCCTGTGCCCTGCACGGGCTGCAGACACACAGACCTCAGAGTGAGCCAGGCTACCCTGGGCGCTTGCACTTCGCACACTGCACTGCGCTGAGTCACTGCACTCCCAGAGGGGTGATACGAACTGATGCAGCGACCCATGTGCTGTCACTAGCGGCCTCAGTGAAAGCCAGCCGAGCCCAGGCCAGCCTTCCTCCCACAGCAGCAGGTCCTGAAGAAGCACATCCCAATGAGCCTCTCACCACTGTGCCAGGCCACCCGCAGTCTGTCATCTTCAGTGTGAAGAACCTGCCAGCCACCCCCACCAGGGTAAATGAGACAGAAGCCCCAACAGCCAGGCCAGTGCCTCGTCCCACAGCCCCTTGCCATTTACGAGGGGATTTAAAGTGACAGCCACTGGTTCCCTTCAGGGGATGCAAGCATAGCTCATGGTACATGTGCTGGCCATTGGGTGCAGCAGACAGTCATATTATTATCTGCAGCACGGGCCTGGATGCCTATTTGTCCCAAACACCTGGCAATTACAAGGCACTTAGGCAGCCTCTCCCATTCCTGTTTCTATGCCCACCGGGTCTGCCGTTCTGACCTGCACCCCCACCGAGTCCAAAAGCCCTTGGTTGCTAGGCTGGCTGGGCAGTTTTTATTGCGGGTTGGTTGTTTGACCCGCCAGCGGCTTTGCCGGCCTCTGCAAACAAGCCAAGGTCTGGCCTGGCCCTTCCCCAGCGACTTTCGCAAGTAATGAGACAGCAGCAGGAGATGCCCACACACAATCCCTGGCCAGCCTCCCTGGCACAGTCTCTGCTAGTGATGCGTTGTGCACGGAGAACCCAGAACCGGGATTCAAGCTGAGCTACGACCTCCAGCTTCTATGGCAGGTCCTGGTGCTGAAGCAGCGTCCGCGAAGATCAGAATGGACACAGACAAGCTAGTGAAGTAGCGAGCAGTGTCTTCCGCAGCAGGGCTCCCGCAAGGCATTGCCTCTGCCGGAGCAGAGCGTTTGTACCCACACCTAGAACACTCCTTCCTACCAGTACGGACCATGGTTTTCCGAACGCCTCCAGGTCTGCCAGTGAGAAAGGACCAGTGCTGCTGCCTTGGAGGGGCCCAGCTGCTCCCCAGCCACACTGGACCCCCTTACTAGCTGGGAGAGGGCACTGGGAGGGGATGAGGAACTCGTGTGGCGTACCTTGTAGTTGCTCCCACCATTGTTGTCCCAGTAGGTTTTCTGCCCACACTGGAAGGAAATGCAGAACTCGATGGCTCCGCGGAGGCTGGGTGCTTTGGGCAGAGTGATGTCGAAGGAGAACGTGTCTGCATCAGCGGCACCGTATGTGTTGTGCATATATTGGCAGCAGACATCCCGGAAACTCCTCCAGGAGTCAAAGGTGATGCGGACATGCACCTTCTTCTCATAGCCGATGTTACTGACCTTGACGGTCCCCGACAGGGAGCGCTCCTGGATCAGACAGTTCTCCAGGCATATCAGGTTGATGTGCAGCTGGTTGCGGAAGGCCGTGTAGTCGGCAGAGGGCTGTGGGAAGTCCAGTGTGTACTTCTTTGTCTCCGGGTGAGGGTCTCGCAGCTTGGGCCTGAGGCAGGTCAGGTCAGACAGGGCTTGCTGCAGGTCACACAGGTCCTCCTCGATCTTGGAGAAGAAGCGGACGGCTGTCAACGAAAGCCCCTTCATGTCAGCAAACACCACCCTCTTCTTCTTGCTCCGGCTGCCCTTGGCGCTGTCCCGCCGCTCCGGCTCTGCACTGGGCTTCTGGTTCAGGCAGGAGCGGAGTGGTTTGCGCCCCCGGCCACCCCGCAGCTCCTCATAGGAGTTCAGCAGCTTGCGGATGGGAGGAGAGTGGGTCAGGCAGAGCCGCATGGCAAAATCCACAGGCATCGCTGGGGGTGTGCTAAACACCTGGAACAGCCTGGAAAGCAGCACAGACATGGGGTTAGGGGCGTAGCCTGGGGATGGGAGAGCCGAGAACAGCACGAGATATCTAGCAGGGCCAGAGGATATTGTGATCAGACTGAGAAGAGCTCAATGAAACCCTAGCAACAACCCCCCCAGAACCTCCCAAACCCACTCACCACAAATCACCAGCAACTCCACTGCCATAGACCTGCAACCAATGAACCAACGGCCACTGCCTCCCACCCTGCCGGTCAGCAACCCCCAAACTCCTGCACACTAACCACCCAACAGCCCCACACGCCCCACGAGAGACCAGCAGCCACGTCGCCTGAAAAACCAACCAACATCCACCTCCCAATTCACTGCCAGCACCCCCAGCCCACCTTCGCCCCACTGACCAGTCCCCAACTCCCACTATTCCCCTTCGCCCCACGGACCAGCCTCACCCTGCTCGCCTTCACCCCACCTGCTCCCCTTTGCCCCCCACGGACCCCACCAGCCCCCCTCCGCTCCCCTGACCAACCCCCCACGGACCACCCCTTTGCCCCATCGACCAGCCCCACTGTGCCCCTTTGCCCCACGGACCAGCCCCCCATTCCCTTTCGCCCCACGGAGCAGCCCCCCGTGCCCCACCCCACTCCCCTTTGCCCCATCGACCAGCCGCCCTGCGCCCTCCGACCAAACCCCCACCTGTTCCCCTTCGCCCCACGGACCAGCCTCACCCTGCTCACCTTCACCCCACCTACTCCCCTCCGCTCCCCAGACCAGCCCCCCACGGACCACCCCTTTGCCCCCCTCGACCAGCCGCCCTCCGACCAAGCCCCCGCTCGCCCGCCACACTCACTCGCTGCAGCTCATGACTCCGCTCCTCGCCCCACTACTACGCCTGAGACCCACGAACGGCAGGTACACCCCCCCGTCGGCCAATCAGAGTGCGGGACACGCCCCCTCGGGACAGAGCGACCAATGGGATCCGAGAGTGCCACTGCAGCCCCGCCCTCGGAGCCCGGCCCCGGGAGCTGACGCGGGGCTTGCAGGGGCCCTGGGGCGCTCCGGGGCCGGGCTCCCTGGGCCCGAGGTGCCAGCGCGGCCTGTCAGCCCCAGCACCCTTGGGCGCTCCCCGGGACCCCGCTCCAAACCCCGCACCCGGGACACATGCTGGGCGCGGGGACAGCCCGGGGCAGCTGGGATGAGGAAAGGGGCCGCGCGTCACTTCCCTTCGGGGAACGGGTTATTGCTCAACCCCCTTCCCGGACCAGACGTGCTGCTGCACGGGGCAGACGCGTCCCTCCTCCCCCAGTCTACCCGCCCTCGGGTCGGCCTGGTCTAGGGCTCAGGACCCGGTCACTGCCCGATTGGAATGAGCTTTAGCCTGGGCCGGCGGCTAATGGTTAATCCTCCCCCGCTAAATCAGCCGCCGACACCCACCCTGAGACACTGCTTCTAAATCCATCCGCCAGGCTTAACAACAGCCCCGTAATGCGCTCTGTGACCAGCTAGACCCAGCAGCCGCCCGGGGTGCCAGGGATTGCTGAGAACTCCAGGGGAAGGTGGAAATCTGTGCTGGGCGCTGACAAGGGTGCAGCACCTGAGTGCAGGGTCTGGTCTCTCTGCTAGGGAAGTTCATGATTAGTGCAGTGTATCACTGCAGGCCACAGAGAGCCCCATGAAGATCAGGACTCTGGTACTATCCAGGTGGATGCTAACATGACCCTCAGCATTGTAATAGCGGAGCACCCTGCAATCAGGACTGGCTTTATCCACACAATGTCCGAGTGAGGTGGGAAAGCGTCCTCATGTTACAGAGGGGGAACCCAGGCACAGAGAGATGAAAGGAGTTGCCCAAGGTCACAGAGTGTCAGAGCCAGGCACTGACCCCAGATCTCCCTTTTGCTTGACAAACTTCACAAAGCATGCTGCTTTCCAGTCTCCAGCTGTGGATGTGTGTTCCTGAACAAGGACAGGCTAGCTAGCAGATGGACAGAACTCCCAGTCTGTTCCTAGTTGAGATGCCATGTGGGGAGAGCAGAGGGAGAGAGGCCAGGCCAGCAAAGAGCCCATTCCAGAGAGGCCAGGGAAACAGGCAGATAATAGTTTCTGAATGTCTTGACTCCACTTCCAATGGCTCTGATGGGTGAGGCCTTGGTATTTAGATAGCCCATGTGGGCAGGGCAGTTCTCACCTCATTGACCAGGGGGAAGGAGAGAAAAGTTCACAGCTTTGCAGGGCTAGGTTAACAGGGCACCAGCCCATGGGTGGCTCTGAAAAAGCTAAAAAAATAGTTTCACAACATCACAGTTTTCTTTTTAAACTACAGCCCTCAGTAATGGCCATGGAAAGACCTAACTCAGAATCCAAAGGCAAGGTAGTGCCCATGGTTTCTCAAGGTCTCTCTGGCTAGTAGAGATGGATAAAAATGGCTCACTCTGAGCTCCCCTCGCTAGTTCTCCAGTGTCTAAATACAGAGATTTAATCCCAGAGACTATGGCCTGACCACCGGCTGGAACTGTGTTTGTCCCAGATTTCCTGCAGTTGCAGAGAAACACACCTGTATCTTGAGCAGATGAAGAGTCCTAGAATGGGAGAACCTGTATTAGACTATCCAGTAAAAATGATCAATATAGCATCTCTGGAAATAACATTCAGGCCCACCTTTCCTGGCCAGCCCTCACAGGGCTTGCTGGCAGAAAACACCAGCACTTGGATCAGTTCACCCATTCCCTGCGCTGCCTGCTAATCTCTCTCAAGCTGCCTAGCCACTTCCGTTAAGCATGACTGATTCGACCTGCTGACAGCACAGATCTTCATCAGCCACTGACTGACACAACTCATCTATTGAGTTTTTACGTGGTTACCCATCACCAGGGTATCTGAGAGCCTTCCAATAAGCGTAAACAGAAATCCTGCTCTCTGCCTGGCAGCAGAAGCAAATTTAGAGCTAACTAGGGGTGGGGTGGAGATTCTATTATTAATATGTAAAGTGATACAATACTGTGGGGTTTAAGAGGGACCTTTGAACTAGAGGCCACAAACCAGAGGATCATGCAACAATCCTGCTTGATGTAGACAGCAGATGCTGCAGACATCTATCTCCTTTCTGAGGCTTCCTACCCCCCAGCCCTCGGGGATGCACATAGTCTGGAGGAACAGTAAGAGCAGGTGACATTTGCCTTTGGCTGGCATTTTACTGCAAGTCGAAGGGAGGAGCTGTCATTTCAGGGGCATTATCACCAGTGGACTGCACCTTCCCAGAAGCTACTCACTTGTGTGGCCTCTGATTTGGGTCAAGGAGTCGGTAAATCTTCCGAACTGGGACTAGCCTGCGATCCCAGGCAGCTAGAGAGCGCTGTCCCTGTCATAGGGCAGCAGAGGTAGATGAGTCTCAGGAGAGGAAAAAAACCCTTTCTGGTTGTCATTGCGCCCCCAGGACAACACAGGGCTGAAAGGCCCCTTGTTGCCCCCCCTCAATCTTTCCTTTGCAGTGACACCTACAAAAAAACCTGACAACAGGTAGGCAGCTGGTGTGCTGGACTGTTGCTGACACGCAAGGTGGGGAGGTAATATTTTTTATTGGCTCAATCTCTGTTGGTGAGAGAGAGAGAAGCTTACACAGAGCTCTTCAGCTCCATGCAGCTCAAAGGCTTCTCTCTCTTACTAACAAAGGTTGGTCCAATAAAAGATGTTACCTCCCCCACCTTATCTCTCTAATGTCCTGGGACCGACATGGCTACAACTGCACTGCTCTTCATGCTGACGTTTTGTCTCACTGTTACCTTGTGCTCCTCTCTTTTGTTGTATCCCCTTGTTTTTTGATTTATACACCAGATGCAAGCTCTTTGGGGCTGTTATGGGTCTGTAGAGCACCTAGGACAGTGGGGCCCTGGTCCATGACTAAGGCTCCTTAGATGCTACAATACAATACAAAATAACAACCTGGCAGCCACTTCTCTACACTAGCACACCACTCCAGGTGCTTCTCTACACCAGCACACTGCTGCCAACTCAGGAGTTTAATCACTAGTCTTACAATACTTGGTGTTTCTTTAAAGCTCCAGCTGCTGGAGTCATGGGAGAATCTCAATGGTGGTGGGGTGGCTGCGATGGTGGGGAAATTTTCCTTGAAGCCTGATTCTCCAGTGCCAGCACCTAGGGCCATCATTTACACCTGTGCAACATTTCACACCCATCTCACTCAGTGAGAATGACAATGCAATGGGGCCAGAGCTGGAGCAGCAGGCCATAAGATAGGGGCTTTGGCAGTGGATCTAGCAAGAAGGCGCCAACCTTCCTGCCTCTGTAGCGGCATGTAGTCAGGGAAGAAAGTAGGACTCCTTGGTGTAGAGTACAGAGCCTCAGAAGGCGCATACTGCTGGGGTCAGTTGGCAAGAGGCCAGGTGAACACTGGTGGCTTTTGTCAGCACAGTGATGTTGGGCACAAATTGCACCTCCTCACACCCGATGAACAGCTATGCCAGCAACAGGTTACGGCATAGACCTCGCCCGTCAGCCTGCTGCTCTGAGAAAGCAATATGGACACAGCTGCATGCACCTGACTCTTTTATACATGGCTAAAAGCCACCAACAGCCAGCCAGGGGCGCAGGAGCTGGGATGGGCAGTACTGCCCTCTGTGCACCCAGCCCACGTTACACTCCACAAGGCCTCAAGGTGTGGGGAGTGGGGGGAGCGCAAGGCCCTGTAGTGAGGGTGGGGAGGGTCTATGGGCAGGCGCTAGTCACGCTGCCCTCCATTGCCAGCTGCAGAGGGAGAGAGTCATTGGGACATCGCAGCTGCAGAGAATGGGGCAGCAGCCAGGGAAGAGTTGCTCCACTGAGTACCTGGAGCTCTGAGCCCTGCCAGCCTCAGCCTCTGCAAACACCTGGGGATTACTCATTAGACATTGCCTCCCAGGGGCTTGCAGAGTTCAGGGCTTTCCTGCAGCTGTGGGTAAACAAAGGAAAAGAGACAGATAAGGGTGGGTCAGGGCCAGTGGGCTAGGGAAGGAGCACCTGCTATGTGCTCCGCAGTGATCACGCAGATCCCTGCACAGGGAGAAAGAGCTTGACAGCGTCCTTGACTGATAACAGGGATCCAGCTACACCTCTCCATGTGCTAGCAGCATGCCCAAGGCTGCTGGTACAGGGCAGCGCCTGGCCTTTCCAAGCCCTGTGCCCTGGCACTGTCCAAACACTTGGGCTGTTCCTCGCAGAGCCTTGTTCTCCGTCAGCCCGAGCAGGCTGCTGGCGCAGCAGGATCAGGGTGCCCAGCTAGCTGTGGGGGATG